GAAGACTCAACTCCTCACCCAGTCAACATACTTAAGCAGTCACAAATAGTCCCCATATCCACACCGGGTCCCGCAAGGTGGTGAATGGCACTGAGTACGTTGTGCTGTAGCCCACCTTCACAAATGTACAAGTAAAAACTAACTGGATTTGCCAGCGGCAGTTAATTTTACTTATTCGTAAGGTACTTTGGGAAAAAACAATTCAACACCAATGCGTGACAATTGTAGCGAACAGGTTCTTTCACAAAAAAAAAAAAAATGGAAAAAAAGTTGGTTTGCCTTTTTGTATACTTTTCTTTATTTAAGAAAATTGGCGCTTGATTCTGGCTCTCCAGGATATCTGATTGAAGTGAGCTTCAGTTAAGCCTTCGTTACTCAGGTTTCAGCTCAAAATCTGTGGAAAAGTTGTATGTAATAACGTGATGCTTAGGAATTTCTGTTTGCAATAGGTTGGGCTGCTGTTCTGTCATCAATAAGGGCATATCATACATCACTGAGCTCAAGCAGTGCTCAACTTACACATCTGTCTTAGTGTTGTAAGTATAATCCTCCAGTGATTCAAGAGCCATCCAACGAACTGGTAACATTCCCTTGTTTGAAAATAAAAAAAAGATCGGAGAATCTAAACTAGAGAACAAGCTGAATGAATGCAGGCTGTGTACTGATATTTGCAACGACGTGAACAAATATAGACAATGTTGCATACAGTTGTAGTTGAAGTTCAAATTTTTCAAATTCTCAAACCTTTAGCGTTCCTGAAGGTTACATTATATTCTGTTATGTTATAGTAACTTAATAATTGAACAGACCTGGTTGAAAAGTTTGGACAATGACGCTCCCAAACAGAAGCCGCTGATCAAAAGTGCAGACTTCCCCAAAGTTGAATAAGACATCATCACGTGATCTTATTGGAGTAACTTTCAAGTAAAGATATCATTGCCTTGACCATTTTGTTTTCTCAATTCAGGGATTTTTATTTCATTTGACTTAAACTGGACGATTTTTGTATTCTATTTAATAGCACTGAGTCACTTCATATGATCGATTTTATGTAATTAAAGTTAGCTAGAAAAAGAAAATGGTGAAGTCGAATTTCCGCCAACGACGGATACGTAAGTAAGTAAGTACGTTTTCCATCTTCTTAATAAGCGGACAGCCGTCCTAAACGACTTCCTTTGTTCTGATCCAAAGGTTTTCCGCGAACGAGAAGTTTGACTGTAATCATAAAAGTAAATTTCCATACCCCGGATGTATTCTCGTATTCACCACTTTCATACACATCACGTGACAAGCCGAAATCAGAAACCATGGCGACATTATTCTTGCCAAGAAGCACATTCCTTGCCGCAAGATCACGATGAACACACTGGAAAGTAACAATAGTAAACTACCAGACTAAAACGTCTTAGAATCTATTTAATCACACTCTTACGACGAACTAGGAAAGTAAAAGGTTTTGAATGCAGAGTTCGTATTAAGGAGCGTACAGTTTTTATCATCTAAATGTAATCAGCATGCCATCAACGTTTTTCTATGTTTAATAAATATGTGGAGCGGATTCAGAACCACCGAAAATTTAAAGTGGCTCTGAATCCGCTCCAACAATTTTCTTCAACTTGGTAAAAAGTTGTGTTCCAATATGAATCACAATTCAACATAAACAGAGAAACTCACCGGAGTCGTTTTTGAGTTACAAGCCCTTTAAGTTAAAATTGTATTGTTTTTAACGGGATATACTGTTGCTATGGTTAACTTTTGCGTCATAAATAAGACCATAAAGTTTACCGATGAATGATTGTTTTTTTTTTGGCGCCATTATTGCATTAACCCACAGACGAAGAGTTTAAAAATGCCAGAAACTGTTGTGAGCCACCTTTACTTACATAAATTAGCACTCCACCAGAATACTCCCCCACCATCTCCTCCTATTAATTTTTTTGTGTGTGTTTTGACATTTGAACAACATATATATACCTTCTTGCTAGACAGGTGTAACATTCCACTGGCTACATCTCTTGCGATCCTTGTTTTGTCGATGTGAGAGAAATTCACCTGTTTTTCTTCAACGTCAATATATGGATTTTCTCTGTTTTCCCTCAGCTGATGCAACAAGCAACCATTCTCAGCCAAGCGAACGACCACCAACATTGATTCTAGTTATGATCAAAACATTGACATGTACAGAGATACCGCCATCAAAACCACAGTAACAATAGTCATACAAAGCCCTCACGTGGTTTAGGACTGCCTCAGTTATACTGAGAGCCGACATGCGAAAGGGTTGACCTCTGGGCTGTTCAAGATAAAGCTCCCTCCTGCCCCTCCTACTCACACAATCCTTACACGAGTTCAACATTAAATGTTTATTGCTGTACTAAGATATTTCAAAAACTTTCCATCCAAATCAGGCTTATCGAAAATGAAATTGAAGAAAATGAATGCAAAATTGTAATTTAAGGCTAAGGGTCAGTAATACAGTTTACTACTACTGCTGATGCTACTGCTACTACTACTCCCACTTATGACATCCATCTAAGTTGCGTTACCTTATTACTTTCAAGTATAATCCTGGACAAAGCTAGAGAATCACTTTTTAAGTTTCGCTATTTTCAGATCTTTGACTGAGTGAACCGAGATTTAGACATGTGATCAGTATCTCTTCCTGACATTCAACAACAAAACATGTTATCATTCTGAACTGTGCAGAATAATCAGAATTATCACTTCACAATATTTACCACTCCTTGTACAAGCTCCGATAAGACTTATGACGTTAGGGTGTTCACCAACTGTCACCATGATTTGAAGCTCGTTCACTAAGTCCCGCCTCTCCAGTTCTGTAGCATTCGCTGAGGTCGAAAATAGATTGTTTAAATGATTTAATCGCGTAGTTGAATTTGCAACATCAGCAAACTATAAAGCAAGCTGTAAAAAAGTCCTTCTACCTACTTCTACATGTGCGATCTTAGAGAAGGAAAAGACAAAGGAAAACCTACATGAAAAGAATCAAGATTTCTTTTTCAAGGAGCAATTTCCAACTGTCCATTTTTTATTCCTCTGATATTTATTTCTTTCCTTGCCTCAGTTCTTCTGGTGTTTCGTGATCAAATGGCGTGGCCTCGTGTAAAATGACCCCGCCGTGAAGACTGCTATATATTACTCAAACATCTGTGTCAAAACAAAACCCAATAAACATCTTGGGATATATTTAATATAGCACAATTTTCGCCTAGCATCGTATTTTCTTCTTTGGAGAGAGCTTAAAATAACCTTGAAGTATTTATTCTGAGGCCCCTAAATAAAGTTGCTTTGAGGAGTCCTCATTTCTGTGAAGTAAGACCGGTACATTTACGTGGCCGACATATAAACAGTTTAGAATTATTACCTTTTAGCTTTTTCACTGCACATTCCCGCAATTTTCCATCCATCCGTACCAAACCTTTGTAAGCTTCTCCAAAGGCACCTTCCCCTAACTTCTCTTGAAGAGTAATATCTGATCTACGAATCTCAACCCAATCTCCGCGCATCCAAAGCTCCGTCTATAAAAATAAGGTTTCTTTAATTGACATTTAAGTTTCTTTAATTTTCAACAATTTAAACTAAATGGAAAAGAAACAAGCAACTTAGGAAAAAGTGCCTTTTCTTTGCAGTTGCATTAATAAATATCAAGATGCACACATTTGATTGACAAGTTGCCGAAGATAAGTATGTCACGTCTACTGACCTCATCTTGCTCAGGAATCGTTTTACAGGTTGGTTTGAACTTGAGGCAAACAACCACGATAAACAAAACAGCTAATGTCAGAGGTAACACGATGATCAGGATTAAATTCCTGATGAATCTGTCTGTAAACAGGAAAATTGAATAAAGGGTTACGTCACAGTCTTGTTGGTAATACTTGACTATTCTGAGCTTTGAATGATAAATGTGACCGTATACGTGAATGGTGAGCCCTGTCATTGAGAGAGTTCAAGTGTCAGCCACCGCGCCTAGACAATAATAGTACCTTTTCTCAATCATTTTAATGTTTCTTAGACGATTTAACACCAGCGATAACACTTACCTGGCAGTGTTCCTTTGGTTAGCAAAACACCATCTGACCGTCCATATCTGTTGTTGCTTGATAATCGAATGGTGTACTCTGTGGAAGGTTCTAGAACCTTTAAAGTCATTCTTGTCTGATCGTACGGCAGCGTCTTCACTATTGCGAAGTTCTCGGAGGCTGATGTTTTTCTTTCATGATAGTATAATTGTGTATCTGGTAAAAGCTGCCATGCTTTGGTTGATCCCAGGCAAGCACGATGTACCGAGTCTGTACATTGGTCACTGTCAAGCCTTTAGGAGGCGGCGGTTTTTCTTGATGTTTAAATAAGCAAACAAAGCATGAAGTCAATAGAGTGTCACTGAAATTGTGTGCAGTTAGTACAGAGAGTACATTCTACTGCCAGGTGTGTAACAATGTAATTTGGCCAAAGAAATTTTCTTTCTTTCAAAGATTTAGGTAAAGCTTATGTGATGGCCACGTAATATTTTAACTCTCTTTAAATGCTATTCTAGTTTATTGCAGGTAACAAAGTAATTACAGTGTAGAAGACGTTTCATTTCCAGAAACGCCAAACTATGGCCAAAAAAGTCATATTTCATTTAAAGAGTAAGGTAAACATACACTTGACTATGTCTTCTGTTACATGAGTGGATCCAGTATAGTATACTCTCCTTGGATGCCACTCTACTGTATTGCTTGTAGCCTACCAGTATCTGAAAACGTATCTTGCTGCAGAAAACATTTGAAGGACATCACTGCTGAGTTACGTTTGCTCACCAAGAACTACGATGGCAGTAACATCAAGTCTTTTCCCTATTGAAGAATCCAGTCCATCGATTAACTGCTCAATGGCTTCACCTTTTTTGGTCGTGTTTGTATTCATGGTGGCGACGACCCTGACGTCTGCTTTCACGCTTCCATGACTAAAACGAAAAAGCACGCATTTCCCTAACTACTGTCCTTTGATGGACTGAAGTAACTTGGTGAAAAAAGGATAACTTATTCATGACATGACGTTTTACTGTTCCATCGTGTAAACTGTAACGACATTCGTAGACGCTTCACTCAATATCTGCATTATCGAGTTATGATCGAAGTGTCCCAGAAAGATTGATTAAAAAATCCTTGTGGGAGATTTTTGGAGGCAAGTGGGGTGGCAGATGGTCAGATGGTGTTGTCGCTGCTGGTGATTCAATGAAAGTGATATGGTCAACATACCTGAACCGCAGAATTTCCACGTCATATATCTTTACGACTGTGGATTTATTAAAATGGTGCTTTATCTACAAGGAAAGGGGAAAAACGTTGAGCAGTTACGAGTTTGTAACAGTAGAAATAGCGGTTTGTATATAGTTACTAAAAATGTCCGGCTGTGTAGAGATCTAAAGCACTCGTCAATAACATGCACATTTGAAGGACCTTGGAGAAGTTTGATGCTACTGAACGGGAATTCAACCTTAATACGCATTATGTACATTACGCAACATTTCGTTTAAACAGGTCTTCCCTTAAACTAATGCACATATGAGCCACTCCTTAGGAATGGAGTTTATCGTACCGAAGTCTTGATGTTTTTTTCCATCGCCACGACGTTGCTGCTGCTACGATCCAAAAGATCACTACTGAAATCTGCATCGATTACCAACTGCAGATTTACATCAATACTTACTTCACCTAAAAAATGAGACAAAAATTAATAATAAAGAAACAAAAAACATTTATTACACGAAATTATCAACCGGTGAACTTGAACACGTCATGGTATTGTAAAAAAAGGCTCGGCAAGGCTCGTGAAGATAGGAAGTTTCAGACTTAACATAATCACAGATAATCTACAGTGGAGAGAGAGAGCGATCATTTCCGACTTACCATATGACAAAGTTTTTATGACAACGATCTTGCTCGTTGGCTCATGTCCAATTTCGTTAAATCCGTTTATTTCAATCTCGTATTTCGTCTGTGCAACAAGATTGAGAACAACAATCTCTGTCATGTTGCTTGCAGTATTTGCTTCTTCATACAGCGGAGAGCCAAGGCGTCTGTATCTCACTCGATAGCCCAGCAGTTGTTCTTTGTGGCGGGATGGAGGCAAGCCATTCCAGGAAATGTGAATTGTAGTGGAATTAAGAGGATAACCTGTTATGAACGTAGGGGCCTCTTCAGGAACTGTTGAGACAAAAGTATCCAAAAGTGCTTTTTTTTTAGTTGCCAACACGTTTTTATCGTAAATTAAGGTCTAAACACAGTCGGCAGGTGTCAATACTTGGAAATACCTTTGGACAGTGTCTTGTCTTGCACACTGAAAGGCGTTTCTTCGATAGGCATTTGACGATGAAAATAAACGATAATAAAAACGAACGACGTTTATATAGGTTATTAATCTAAACAAGAGAATGTTAAACGTGATAAAAAGGGATAAAACGTGTTGATACTAAACGTTACGGAATTAAAAAAGGTAATAAAAAAAACTCCGCGTTGTATAAGTTTGGATGAATTAAGTGTCTTTTGTCGCAATAATTTGGAGAACAAAACATCTTAGTCATCCAATTCAAAGGCTTTGAATCAACAGAGACATTGTACTAGAACATTTGATGATTCAAACTTTTTGTGTGTCTTTACACTTCGCTTTACTTCTTTTCGTCCTCGGCAAGTTCGTGATACTTATACTGATTTTCCTTGTTCCCGCAATCTTACAATCATTTTTTGAGGAAACTTGGCTTTAAATGAGGATTAAAATACATTACAAGGTTGCCAGTAACATCAACAATTTTCGCATAGTATGCTTGCTCTGTAGCTTTTGTTCCGGTTCATGCCTCATTGGCTGTATATGTAAGACATAAGAAGTTGGTGAGGAATTCGTAAATACATGGAAAAATACACAATAGTAATTGTTTGGACATTAAAATATTCTCCCAGACTAATTGTTTTCTTTTTTCCTCCACCTCACTGGATCGAGTTCAATATACCTCTTGGAGGACATTTAGTTACGTTGCAATATTCCCATCGAACTTTAGGGTCAGTGGTATAACACCAAGGTCCATCTGGGGCACTGCTATCTGGATTACGACACATGTTGAAGTCATTATGTTTATTTGTGACATCTTGAGGAATACGCCAATGACGATGAGGACATTGTGAGTTCCACGCCTGACAGGTGCGACCAGATCGGGTGATGTTTACATTGCCACGGTACCCAACACCAATGCCATAGAAACAATCTACAATAAATTGTACTTGTACAATTAGTTATAGAGCCAAATTAATCGTGTGAATCTGGGAATTTAAGTTCTGAATGGTGAAAAGCTTTTTACTTTGCAAAACAGAAAAGTCAAAGGTTTTCTCTTTCTTCAGTTTAGAACTGGATCACAATGGCACCATCGAGATTAAACAGTTTTTAAACTGTTACAAAAAGCTACCGACCATATCGTCAAGAAGGAGGAAAATATACGGCGGTGAATATAACAGGAATTTTGTATTTCTTATAAATGAGGAGTTTTTATGTAGCTACTTAACGTATTTATTACACGCAATTTGAATTGTATGAAAAGAAAAAACGGCCATCTTAGGAAGGGACTTCTTGGTATGAACCTTACCACAACATATTAATGTTTCTTTGCTTGAAAATTGATGTTTCATTCGTTTTTCAAAACTGAGATAAGAGACAAATTGTGTGTTATGAAACTCATAATATATGAACATGATTTCAAACTTGAGCGTGTTCACGAAAGGTCGATGACGTCAGTGAAGTTCATCTCAAGTGTAATATTTACGGGTTTTATTAATGCCAATGTAAAATTATACCAATTAAAACTTGAAGGACAGACCTGTGCTTCTTGTATCATCACCTGTGGAAAATCGGGGAAAACAAGGTTATTCCTTTATCACTGTTGAGCAAATATATTATTGAAAAATAGAAAAAAATCCGTGTTTAATATTTAACAAATGAAGAAGCCTCGACTGTGCTCTGTTCTGTTGCAAAGCACGCAGGAAGCGGTATAGCACGAAAGAAGTGTAAGGGGAAACACAAGACGAAGTCGAGTGTTTCTGCCTACTTCTTGAGTGCCCTACCACTTCCTAAGTGCTTTACAACAGAACAGAGCACAGTTGAGGGTTTTCTATTCGTTTATGATGAAGAATCCATTTATTTCCCCGTGCATTCGGCTAATTCTTTCAAACCAAACTTTATTTTCTGAAATAGTGAAGGTGGCTTAAGCTCAGAAGGCACACTAAAATAGACTCTTCAATTAACTAGATGTATTCAGTGTATCTATCGGTTGAAGAAGTACATGTAGAAGTAGCTTCATTCAAATGTGGGAAAATGGAAAATTCGCTGTCGTGGCTCACAGTCTGTAAATACGAGGATTTAAATCAATTCACGTCACGTTATTTCACAGAGGACACACTCTGAGAAATATAGCAGGATTTAGAACTTGACAATAACGTTTACGCTATTCAAAGCTGTGAATTAATGAAAACTCTACAATCGCGCCAAAGAGCCGCAAAGTAAAGTTAAGTAAAGTGCTGTTGGGTAGCGTCTTTTGTTTGGTAACCTTCGTAACAAAAGGTGCTAATTATCAACATCTTACTCCACTTGCTATGTTGCTATGTCTATGCCCTTAGCTTAACCTAGATATAAGCACCTGATATTGGATAGTATTGGTAGCATTCAGGAGCATCTCCACCATTAGCAACGTCATAAAAGCTACCGTTGATTATGTCTTGGTCGAAAACTGGGGCGGTCTTTGCTGCATCTCTGATTAAAATCATTTCTTTCTTACACAACTCTTTATCCATATAATCGTATGTTCTGCGACAAATCTTACGAGCACTAGGCTTGTCCGTTGAAATATCGCACGGCGGGTAATGATAACGACAATACAAATCTCTCATAAGTGGTTTGCACTCATCCGTTATTTCAAGGATGCTTAAGTAACTTTCAAATGTGGAGGTCCAATATTCACCGTAACTCAAAGTACCACTATCCCCAAACACGTATAAACTAGTAATTATATCCTTGCAGAAACTTCCTTTATTGTAGCTGTAATATATGCAGGAAGCATTCCTTGCAGAGGCGTTTACTGGAGGTAGTGCTTGCACGCAGCTGAAAAACGAACAAAACAGACATCAACGACAAATTAACTGGTGTATTAATCCCGTTGCTAGTACTAACGAATTCAAACTTGGCTAAAGTTAAGTTTTTCTTAGAACAATTAACTGTGTAATACGTTTGTTCGCGTTCACGTAACTCACTTTGAATTAGTGTCCAGTTGTGTTAAGTTATTCCCTGGCGATAAATCAGAGAGAGTTAGTTTTGTTCTGGAAATGAATCATCGTAAAATTCGTGACAGTTTATATAAACATTATTCTGGGCATTTTGTTTTTGTAAGCAGGACTGCTGTGTGCCAACAGTATAACGAAAAAGTTAAAAACATTACTTAAGGCCTTTTTTACCTTTTCGGAGAAGAGTGGTCATAAGTTGGCCAGCACTGCTCTGCTTCCTGTAGCACAGGGATGTTATTTATACCGCCGGTTCTCCGGATAGCCTTTTTCTAAGTTGTGTATACATATATACATACATAATACATACATACACCCATACATAAACTTTTTTACTGTGTCAAAATATTTAGCCCATGGGGAAACACGCTTCTACTAATTGGGACACCCAATATTATTTAAACCTACTAACTATATATTGTCTAATATTGTTTAATGAAGCCATAGAAATGCATGTTGTGTTTTACAGATACGTAATAGATATTCCAAAAAAAAAATCACCTACCACAATGAGCCAAATTAATGCACAAGACAAGAAGAATGCCAAGAACTTGAACTGCTTCCATGTGTCAATGTTTGTCACACAAGCGAGTCAATCTGGCGAAAAGGAACAAAGAGCATTACCACCATATATAGTAAGGAAAAGATATTCAAGAAAATTTCCACAAGAGGCTTATAAAGAAAGACTGTTGGCAAATTCAAATTGAATTAGAGGAAAAAAAGAATTTTCGCACATTGCCCAATAGCGCAGTGCTTTAATATCAGCGTGTTATTCGTGCATAATGCTACTATACTGAGCAAACACAACGATTTGGAACTGCGCCAGAACTTGATCATAGTTAACTATGACTTGATAGAGGGTTTAAAATTCGTGTCATTAATTAAATGACTTAAAGAAGACTATGGGCTTGTGTTTAGTTTCCATCAGAGGTATGAAAGTGTAAGATGATTCTGTTCCCGAATTGTTCAGTTTCAGAACACTGTTTGACATATCTTGGGTCCCTATCTTAATATTATGTTATTACCCTAGACTAAATGCAAATGCTTTGCCGAAAGATTCCTTTGAAAATCTTTTACAAACTACGCATTCGTCTGACCCTAGCTTTGGATGATTTTCATTGAAATCCTAATTAAGATTTGTTGTAAAAAAGACAGTATAAAGAGCAATTCTTCCTGGTGAAAGTGAGAGATCATCGCATGCATCTACTCGACATCATCGTATGCATCCATTTTAAACTAGATAGACCGGTGAGTTCAGTAACGTGAACACCGAAACATCGAGAAAAACTCCATTGATTACCTTTTCAGTTGAATGGTGTTTATCCCACAACGCTCTGGCTGTAAATGTAAGGTCCGTTACTAATGAAACAAAATTCGCTGTTCTCGCAGCCAGGTTTCGGTGGAAGAGATGAAAAGAAGTTGAAGTAATCGCATACATAGCACAAACAAATGTCTATAGTTATGTCAAGCGTGACGTTGACCTTTACAAACTGGGCCGGTGCGCAGAGGCGGAAATTAGGAAGTAAAATAATTTGCACACTGTATTTGTGAGTTGCATCTAAACTTGGAAAGTTTTAGTTTCGCAAAGTCAGGAATTTTATCACATCCCATGATAACTTACAATTGTAGCATTATTATTTAGCAGTAAGAGTTACATTTCCATTTAAAACTGAAAATTATCAACGTAAAGGACACCGACATTTCATCACTTTACCAACAAAAGCCCTCTGAGAGGACATGTGGTTACTGGAGAGTGAAAAACCACAATGGTACAAAAAAGACTTACGGAGTTTTAGTTTTATTGCAAAATGTTTGTTTTGAAATGTAAAATGCATGACACATATGCTCGATGCGAGGATGGGAAGGCCACGTGCCCGTTTCTCGAAAACCCTGGAAACTTTTCGGGCCCGTAAAGCCATTTTTAGTCCATCTGTATCTAAAAACGGAGAAGTGTATACGCCTGAAATTTCTTGTTTGAAGGGAACTTCTCTTCGTATTCAGAATAGTACGCTGGACAAAACTGTTCTGGATCGACGTTTTACAGCAAAAAATTAAAATAAACATAGTGACACAAATAATTTTGTGATTGTCTTAAACTTTACTAAATTCCACACATGGAAACTTATTTTTATATGGATCACGCAAGAAAGGCGTTCGTTACACCTTGTCCAAATTTGGTAACTGAGTCACAAAAGTATTCAAAATTACGTGTTGTCTGAGGAAAATAAGTCAGATTTGGAGTGTTGTTTTGCGAAGAAACTCTTTACGTGCAGGTAGATTTTTTTGTCACAATTTTAACAAGAAAGCATGAGAAAAACTTAAAACTTTTTTGGCCACTGAAATACAATATGATCTTASAACTCTGAAGTCTTAAAACTGTTCTCAGTTGCAACTAGATCGGTCTTGCGCCTGTCTTGAAGATGGCTGCCTTTTATCGCGCTTCGTACAAGCCACAATTGCACAAAATACTGCTGCGTTAAGGCGTCGTCAGCCAAGAACATCAGGCACTGCTATTTGTGCTTTTAGGAAAGTTTACGGACCTGTTTCTGGGCCCATCTACCAGTAGCTTGCCATTTTCTCGGATTTGCTTGCATAACAGCTTGAAATAACTTCGTTTGGTTTGCTTTGTGGCCCTTCAGTAATAGCATCACAACGTGAATCTTTAATTCTCTGAACCGCTGATGTATCACAGGATTATAGTGCTGTTTAAATGGATTATCGCTCCTTCCTCATGCCATCTCGTCGAATTCATGAAAATATCCACAAACGCGCAACGATGTTCTTCGCACAACAGCACAGGTCTAACACTACGATGTCGATGTAAACCTTACCAATTGTTATCTTAGAAATCGCGCAATTTTCCGTACTTTTGTGATTCAGTCCGCAAATTTAGATACGCTGTAACGCAAGCCTTCCTTGCGTGGTCTACATGAAAATAATTTTCCATGTGTGGAATTTAATAAGGTTTAAGACAATCAAAAAGTTATTTGCATCGCCTTGCTTGTTTTAATTTTTTGTTGTAAAACGTCGATTCAGAACAGTTTTGTTCAGCGTGCTATTCTGAATATGAAGAGAAGTTTGTCCAGCTCTGTAATCGTCAGGTTCGAGATTTTGCTATGGCTTTACGGGCCCGAAAAGTTTCCGGGGCTTTCGAGAAACGGGCCCCAGGACGGGAACGGCAGCGGACACGGGAAACTTTCGCTAGTCCCGTCGTGTCGCCAAAGATGAAACGCTGTTCCAAAAACGCGGAGTGCGGAGTGCGGAGTGCAGAGTGCAGAGTGCTGAGTCTAAAAAAAAAATTTAAAAAGAAATTAAAAAAAAAAATAGAAATAAAAAATATAAAAGTGAATTAAAAGAATAATCAAGTACATAAATAAACTAGAAATAGAAAGTTAAGAAATAAAGATAATAATTATTAAAAAATTCACACCTCCTGAGGTGGACTGTTCATATCGCGTATATCTCATTAAGTCCAAATGGTATATTCAACTCACGATTTTCACAGTTAGCAGTTCACTTTTGGCTGTTCCGAAAACGAGGAGTGCGGAGTGTGGATTGCGGAGTGCAAAAAAAAAAAAATAATAAAAAAACAAAAATTAAAACAAAATAGAACTAAAATAATAATAATAATAATAATAATAATAATAAATATAAATAAAATACAAAATAGAAATTTAAGAAATAAAAAT